GCAACTACCTGTGTTGAAGGCTTCACCCTCTTGGGTTGAGGAGTGCTTATACCTGGCCTCCAACTCCTACCCTTTTTTGCCTCTCAGCTCGCAATGCAGCTTGACATGCCATACCTTCTTGGGGTAGGTGTTGCAAGGAGAATTCATCATGTATTTGAAGCCACAAACGCCGTTGTCACTAGTTGGTCCTCCATCTCATCCAACCCTATGCGCAAAGATAAGCAATGAAAGTTTTTCGTATAGTCATGGACCTTTGATCCATGATGCAATTGATGGAATTTGCAATTGATGGAAATGTTTATACACAGTTTGTGGAAAGTTTGGAGGAAGAAATTGTTTGCACAACTTTACCCTCATTTTTGCCCACTTTCGAAACTTATCTTTCCCCTTTCACGACCTTGCTTTCTGAACTTGATCACATGAAACAGATGCAAGTCCTTAACGGTTATGCAACTAAGTTTACTTTTTTTGAATCTTAACAGTTCCTTCCATCTAAAGAATCTTTCTACTGCTCTTAACCAATCTAAGAACTCTTTCGGTGATAAAATACCAAAAACTTCAGGTATGTCAACTTTAATACTTGTGTCGTCATCATGGTGTCATGCTCGCTTGCTTCTCCCCCGGTTTATCCACTTGAGTTACCATCCAACTCATGCCTTCATCGAGACCTTTGTGAACCAATAATTCCACTAGAATTGGTCCGGGATTCTGAGCTACATGAAGTCGTCTCCATCTCTGACTCACGGTGTTCAACAAACAAACCACCATGTATGGGATCCATGACCAGGGATCTTCTCACATTTCGTTGATTTCTATCTTGCAAAAGCATGGCCATCGACTCTGTTAGATTGTGCACAGTCTCCACCAACCTATCGAGTTTGTGACCTACATTTCCTTGGCCACGATCTCTACCAACAGCAGCCATACCCACGAACAAGGTCTGATACCAAATGGTGCAAAACCAGCACCAGAAAGTATAGATCCGGGGCCGATTGTGCAACAACGACCTGGTTTCCTTGATTCCGATAAAGGGAATGAAGAGAAAGGGCATTTTTATCTCCTAACTCTTGTTACTCTTAAGTACACAAGGATGGGAACTCAAGTTACTCTTAAGTACACAAGGATGGGAACTCAAGTTACTCTTAAGTACGCAAGGATGGGAACACTTAAGTACACAAGGATGGGAGCTCTTAAGGTACTCTTAAGTACACAAGGATGGGAACTCTTAAGTTACTCTTAAGTACACAAGGATGGGAACTCTTAAGTTACTCTTAAGTACACAAGGATGGGAACTCCTAAGTTACTCTTAAGTACACAAGGATGGGAACTCTTAAGTTACTCTTAAGTACACAAGGATGGGAACTCTGTCTCTACATTGAAGAGAAGGAAGTTTTCAATTTCATTATCAAATTATCAACAAAAACTAACTAATTGTTGCAGCAATGTTCTATATATAAGAGCCTATTCTCTGGATTTAGACAATGCCAAAATGCCATTTAACAAAGTGTGAAAATGACTGGACTACCCCTTTTACCTTTTTCCCATACTTTATGTTTGCTTGCATGCAACCTTCATGCTCCCAAGTTCCCATGCATGAAGCCAAACTCCCAAGCATTGAAACTACCCATTTTGGACCTTTGGACTCATGGAAACTTTCACACAAAAAGGCGGCGTTTGATAACTTTCATTGCAGTTTCGTTGTGAAAATCCCTGCTGTTAACTTTCATGGATTTTGGGAAGCAGATGAAAATTAGTAACCTGAAAGCTAGGGACTTTGTTGGATAAATTGTGGTGCTGGTATTTTCATCTGTTTGGCATTAGGAAAGATGGTATATATAATATATGATACATATTATATTATATAATATCATAAAATTATATAGATAATGTTATTATAATATATTACACATAATATTGTTTCGTTATATTATATATAAATAATAATACTATTATAATAAATTATTATATATAATATTATTATAATAATATATTTATATATACTATTATTAAGTTATATTATATTATATTATATTGTATGATATTTTATTTATATATTATTACAATATTATAATATTATATTATAATGATGCATTATAATATATTATTATATTATATAGAATAATTTTATTATAGTATTTTATATATAATATTATTAAGTTATATTATATTTTATGATAATATATTCATATCTTATAATAATATTATATTATATATAATCTAATATTAATACTACTATAATAGAGGGAGAATTTGAGGTCAGCCCACTAGTTGACAGCTGCAGTAAACACCCGATGGCCCAGATTGAATCTGGGTCGATCTAATGGTCACAATTGTATTTCATATTTTAATTTTATTTTATTTTCTACAAATCCAAATCGCTTGAATTTTGGAGTATTTATTCTTGAAAAATAGGAGAAGCTAATAAAAATATAAAAAAAAATAATTCGACAAAAATAAATTGACCAAAATACCCCTGAAATTTCAGGATATTTGGTCAATTTATTTTTGACGAATTATATGTTTGATATGTTATTAGGTGTGCCTTGATGAGAAGAATGGACACCCAAATTTCATGTGATTTGGATTATAGAAAAAATAATTGAAATTACATTACGAAATACTTTT